TAAGACCTAGCGCATCTTTGGGAGCAAAAATTAATATCGGAGGATGTCTTATTTTCGGGGAAACAGGGTAGTTAGACAGGTACCATTTTCAAGTGCAGAACAGGCCCAAGCAGGGCTAGGGTTAGGCTAACACTGAGCACTTTTCAAAACCTCATGCTTTGTGTTTGCTCAAGGTGAGGAATTATAAAGGAGCTACTGAGCGAAGAGCCAGTGCCAGTGCTAGCCCATTGGAGGCCCTAAGCAGGAATATTTTGCCCCCCTCCCCTCCCTCCCCCCCCCACCTCCCACAACAATACTAAAACAGGCAAGTACTTATAATAAAAAGTGAATAGCCCCCACCACCCCACTTGAGCTGCTTGGGGCCCTAAGAAATTGCTTAGTTTGCGTATGCCTTGCACCGGCTCTGCAAACAGCCCAGCCAGGCTCACAGACAGGTAAACTAAAAATTGCATTCTTGTTACAGTCTAAGCAGAAAGCATTCCATAGTAAAACCCACCAGTGGGAGGCCTTGTCTACATTAGAAAGGGTTTGCCGCTGGTGGAGCTATACCAGCAAACCCTCTTAGTGGAGACACAGCTTATACTGGCAAAAAGAACAGCTTAGACCAGTCCCCTGAACAAAAGGACTCTTTAGTGTCTACTCTGGGGCTTTTGCCATCATAGCTATGTCAATCAGGGATGTGATTTTTTTTCACCCTCTAACCCATATAGCTATGCCAGCAAAACTTTTTGGGTAGCCCAAGCCTCAATCTGGGGGCTAATGAGGGATGAAATTTGTTCACCACAAATAAACTCAGGGCTAGTTTACGTGCTCTGGGCACTGACTGAACACAACTCATGTAGAAATCAATTTAGTTAAATGAGTGGGGGCCCCCTATTGGGGACCTCCAATCGGATTTAAGAGGAGCTGCATATGGAGCGGTTGCACCAATTCAACTAAACTGTGTGACACAGGGCCAGAAAGGGTTACACAACCAGCAGGCTAATTGACCCAGATTCAACCTTTAGAGACATATTAGTAGATAATGTTTGTGGTTTTGTGTATTTACATATATATTGTTAGAGGTTAACAATGTAACCAGACAATTCCTGTCTGTCGCTGTATTCTGTTAATTCAGAGATCAAAAGGAGATATTAACATTTAAATGAACTGTGAACGTAGTGATATCACTTTCTTGATTTCTCTTTGAAGTATACAGCAAATCACCGGCAAATAGTGGGAGATAGGCAATTGCCTTATTTCAGGTTTCAGAGTAGCAGCCTTGTTAGTCTGTATCCGCAAAAAGAACAGGAGTACTTGTGGCACCTTAGAAACTAACAAATTTATTAGAGCATAAGCTTTCGTGGACTACAGCCCACTTCTTCGGATGCATCCGAAG